CACGAGAGAAGATAAGGAGAGAACTCTGACTACTGACGTGGAGAGCTTTTAATGTCTTGTAACAACAGTGTGAATGATTGACAGAGCTTGATAACAAGAGACTGTAATGACATGGATAATTTAAAACAATCAATAACCGATAGGATTTCGAAGGTGATAAGTGGGGTGAGAAAAATTTGGTCTTTATATCAGGTAAAGAGGAAACAAATATGGAATTGCATGGAGGATTTCATTTTGAGCTGACATCAGTTAGAGAACCATTGGAAAACAAGCTGGGAGCACTGGACAACCAGCTGTTTCGTCAGCCTAGTTTTGGACTCTTCAGCAGTACGCACCCACCGGGGTTCGAACCCATGACACCTGGTTACAAGGCAAGCTCGTAGATCATTGAGCCACTGGGACACGAGCCAATGCTGCATGGGTGCGTACTGATGAGGAGTCCCAAACTGGTGTGACGAAACAGCTGTCCAGTACTCCCAGTTGGTTTTCCAGTGGTTCTCTAACTGATGTCAGCTTATGATGAAATCCTCCATGCATTCAAACAAAATCCCTACAAAATCAATAATAGAAAATATGAAATTATCTATGCCACCTTTTGATATGATATCCGTTTCTTGAAGTTAACTGCCACCTGAATTATTCGTCAGCTTCGTTAGACTTAATCAGCTTTATCTGTTCACCCATGGGATTCAGTCGAACTATATTTTATTAGTAAATACTTAAGAAACTGAGGGTTATTCGATATTAATTAATTTATCAGATATATCACAAGTAGTGGAACAGTGTTATTTCATCATCAATGCTTCAATCAAAATTTACTGTCGATAATCATATCAGATATAAATCTATGGGTTCAAAACCCGGTTGTTATAATATAATGGTACATAGCACTAATTCTTATGAAAATTTATGGAAACCACTTCCATCAACCAATTTTTATACATACTTGCCTAGTCAATTTATCTAAACATCATGAGGTGACATCAATTAAAGAACTATTGGGAAATTTCAGAGTACCGGACACCCTTCTTTCATCCTAGTTTGGGACTCTTCACAATGTGCACCCAGTGGAGAGTCCCAACCCACGATTTTCCGGTTACAAGTTGGGGACAAATACTCATCAGTGATAATGGCTAATAGTCACGCTGTATTGTGAATCGGTAGGGGTGCGTACTGATGAAGAATCCCAAATTGGTTCGAAAGAGCTGTCCAGTACTCTCAGCTTGTTTTCCAATGGTTCTCTAACCGATAACAGCTTATAATGAAATCCTGTAACTGATCCATCAAATATCTACAAGCCAACACTTGATCATGGAAGCATCGTTAATTCGAAACCGAGATCATCATCGAGGGGAGGGGGGGTGGCTAATCACTTTAAACTGCTGATACATAGAATTATATTCGTAATTTCCAGATTACAATATGAGATCTGAGTCGAATCAAAAACTGGGTAGTCCACTGATGAACTCCGCCCCACCATACAAGAGAAACAGCCAGCCTTTTACATCACTTCATTCTGGTTAGCCACCACTAATGGCTGATGTAATTGGCATGCAGCTGATCATCTGAATCAATAAATAGTATAGAGTGTTGTGTGCAGACAGATTTTCTTTCATGATTACTATTTATGGTATCAAACAGACCATATATACAGTGTGTGAATTCTTACCTCAAATTTGTTTATAAATCTTAAAATGTGAATTAGATGCTTGGGTTTCGCAGCTGTAATTCTTTTCATCAGTATTTCTTTATGGGAATATGAGAATATCTGGGACATGTGGTGTTTTTTTAGTTTCTGCTTCAATTATTCTCACTTCTTTCAATGAACAAGACTTCTATTACCATCCTTTTTGCTTCTCCTGACTGTATTAGATTCGAGGATCTTCACATAATCCCGTCCTGTGTGTGTACGTCATGCATTTGACTATAATTCATATCCTGGTTAGGGTATCCTAGTCCGCATCACGCTAAAGTATTTTGTACTGCGGTAATCGAATAGAGGTAATCTAGTCATAGGTGCCTGCGTTCTATCTCCCGTGTGAAGTGGTATAATACGGTGAGCAATATTGAAGTTAGGCACCGAGTGTTGGTTAGGCGGGAGGGGAAATCAGTCGACGAGCCTGTGAAGTTACATCGACTAAGATGGTTAGGACATGTGTTACGTACGCTTAGACATCGATCGTCTTCCTCCACAGGCAATGTTAGCTGACACAGGGTCAGACTGGAAAAGAGGTAATGGCGGTCAAACCAAAACATGGCTTTATCAGTCAATGAAGTCCACAACAGTTAGTTTAAGCCAGCCAATCAGCCACGTAGGAGTTGGTTGAAGTCCTCGGGACGGTAAACACCAATAAAGGCTGGAAACAATGGGTGATATGGTTCAAAGTGATCGTTCTCAATGGCTGGCGCAGATGCATCCACTCATTGTGACTTATGATTTCAAATGAAACTATATTGTTCTTCGTTATTACTATTCCTTTTTTCTTATGTCCCTGTCCACTGTGTCTATTCTGCATTTCTTCTCTTGGTTTGTGTGCTGCATAGAGGGAGTGTGGCGAATTGAACTGCTGCACATCAATGCAGAGTTCTATGTTGAAAACAGATAGACACACAGAATAGATAACTAACCCATCATTATTGTTATTGGAAACAAAATGTGATATGCTTCATGAGATAGATGTCTTTTGTGACTGTGTGATCCAATTGATACAGTTTCAGCTTCAAATTTCATAGAATAGCTTAAGTACTTACTAGCGTCCAGAGATGTCGATCAGCATCAGTGACAATCAGTTTGAATTTAACTTCCCAAGTTGTTTACCGCATATGTTTTCAAGATACATTCAAAATGTGAGCGTATAACATTGACCAGACATCAGAAACAGTTTAATGCTGCCTAAGATGATATGCGTGTCTGATGTCACACAAAATTGAAGACTTACAGATGAAGAGCAACACATTGGCCTAAGAAGCAAGCAGCGAAGACAGGACTGCAGATGAACAAAGGGAAGACGAAGGTGACAAAGACAACCAACCAACCAACCAACAGCACCAGCAACAACAACAACCAGCACCAATCACCATCAACGGGAGAGATTTGACAGAGGTTACCTCCTACACTTATCTCGCTAGAACGCATGGTTTAAACCATAGGCAACAGAGCGGATGAAGGTGTCAAAGCTAGCCAATCAGAATCAGAAAGGTGGAAAATACGCCTACATCAACCTGAAACCGTTTCGAAAATCTTTTGCACTAACTCAGCCAGCATTAAAAACCAGATTCGGATTCTGTTCAACACGAAAACGATTTCCAACAGGCTGCAGATTTTTTCAACGGTTGTCTTCGCTGGCTCCATATACTGAAGATCGAATGGCCAGCCGCACAGAGAGAATTAGCAACAAGAAACTCTGTTTGGGAATAGACCAACAGGCGATAGGTGATGACTGCTCAACAAATAGGTGTGGAAGAAAACGGAGATGGGCCGGACATACATCGAGGAGACCGTCGAATGATATCTCACTCAGTGCAGGCCATTGCCCAAATGGAATCTCAGTGGGAAGTGACTAGTGGGTCGTCAATGCGAGTGTGACATGCAGGAGATCGTGTGAGTTGCGGTAGATGAGAGATTATGGTCAATCGTGGACCCAACTAAAGAGGACAGTGTCATATAGAACAAACAGGGAGATGTGTTGTTGAAACCAGCCGTATGTTCCACTCGCAACCCAAGGGGATAATAAATGATAAAATAAATAAAGTTACTACTATGGTGACTTATTATATCATGCATACACATATATATGTGATACTACCTTATCCTTTGTTAATATTTAAGTTTAAGAATGAATAAAGTTATTTTTGTGAATAAATATTTTTATGTGGTGTGTTTTGCTCACTTTTTTGGTCTTTTCAATCTTTGCTACACTAAACAAGAAGAAGAAGTAACATACCACCACCTGCTTATCGATCTACACTCAAAAATGACCTTGAAAATGAGCTGAACAGATATTTGTACTTGGAATAGCATAGAAAAACAAGACAAGAAATGAAAAAAGTTAACTAGGTACAAAAAATGTCAGGGTGATTTTAGGCTAGAGGATGAATTATGTTACAAATAACAGTGGTGCTTATTTATTCATAAGCAATAGGAACGGATGTTAGACTGTACTTTGATTGGTCACTCGGTAGTACTGAATGTTCTTCACATCTAGTCCTATGTTTGGTACAGACTGAATTTTATCCGTCAAGTTTACAGTGTGTTCATAAGGCTCGGCGATGTGACATCATGTTGCGTTTTAAACTGATATTAGATCATTGAAGGCAGTTGGCGATAAGCCCTGCTTAGATCTAAGTTTCGTTACTTGTCGGCACTTACCATCCAGCATTCTTGAAGAAACACATGTTCCCTCTGAGATTTTAACCCGTGTCACCCTAGTAACTAATCAAAGTATCTATTAAAGTCTTACTGGAAGTCAAAGTTAAGTCTAAATAGCTCAGCAGTAACGTCTCCTGGGGCTGAATATCACACAGGGAGCGGGGTTGGAAGCCTAGCGTCCAGCTTTCAAACTTGTTTGCGATCCTTACTATCAGCTAAGAGGCGAGATTTATGAGTACTTCGGCAGGGAGTCTAACTTTGAACAGCGTACATGGCTAATGAGTATTCTACTACTGAACCACCGGTGAACAATGTTTCATGTGTACACAGTTTAAATGTTACCTAATTCTTGTATTTGTGTGTCAGTGGCACAAAGGCTGAATGCTCCCCAAACACGCAGGTTGTTCAGTGTTCGACCCCCGGCCACAGACGTGCTGCTTTACCTCGCTAAGCTAGTGATACGACTGGTAAAGAGGGAAGGTTGGATATGAGGTTAGCGACCCCATCTCGTAAAAACAAACACCACTGTTACCGAAACTTCAAGCCTCTAGTTTGAGGCCCTATGTTCCACTGGGAATGTAAAGAGTGTTTTCACTTATTTGTTTTTTTTGTTTACATGATCTTGTTCCAGATCAGTGGTGATGCAGTCAGTTTAGAAGAGAAAGTGAAACTTGCCTTAGAGGAGAACATCAATCTGAAATCATACATTGATCGTATGAATAATGAATGTATGGAGTTGAATGCCGCCTTATTTGAAGAAGCCAATAAAATGGTAAGTCAGGAAATCAACCCCTCACCCCCACAGTAGAAGTTTACTGATGTATATTTTTCAATAAAACACATTAACACAAGAGTATTCCCAGTCACTTAGGTTTATAATTTTTAGGCTGAAGTCAATTAGCTTAACACCATAGAGTATAATAAGATAGATGCACACAAACAACGGAGTGTAAAACTTATGAGGAATTGAAATTTTAGAAAACAGAAAGACTGAGCAGCGAAGAAATATTTACTTTTCAATTAGATCCTCATCTCTGGCTCTGCTCTAATACATGTGTAGCATTTCTATTACAAAACACAACGGTGACAAGTGACACAGATATGTTTGTTAACAACAATTAGTCAGTGTCAAAATGTCAATGGGTTGATAATAAACGAAGAAAATCAATACACATTTCAAAGGTAGAAATGGTTAGCATAAATTAATTTAATTTTACAAGGATAACACGTAAATTAAATATGAAGTGGTCAAAATAAATAAGAGGTAAAATAAAATAATTTGGACAGTTATAGTTTCTTATAATTTTTAAAGGTTTTCATGTAACGATGGCCAATGTAAGCAAAAGTGGGTGTACAAATTTCTTCTGAACATACAGGTTTGGCGTCTTCAGGTGGATTCCTATTGCTTCAGCAGTCAGGGAATTCCTAGAAGCCTGGTACTCAGTTGAACTAGCCAGCGATTAAGAAACACATTACTATTATTGTTTCCTTTAGTTCCTAGAGGAACATAAGGCTTCAGCCTCGCGTCTCCATTGCGCTCGCTTCTCTGCTAGAGTTTTCACCTTGCTTCAAGTATACCCACATGTTTTCATCTCCTCTTCACATGACCACCTCCAAGTCACTCCACCCTCGCACTGACTACCAGCTCGCCGCTTCCCTTTCGGGTTCCATTCAAACGATGGCTTGTCTTGTGATGGTTTGTTTCCTCAGAGTATGGCCAATCCATCTCCATTTCTTCGTGCCCATTTGTTGCACAATCGGTTCCTGGTTGGTTCGCTCAATGCCAGAGATCCCTGTTGGTGGTCTTTTCTCGCCGGCCATCTAATCTTGAGTATTAAGTGAAGATGGCTGTTAATGACGGTCCGAAGTTTGTTTGAGATGCTCCTTATGACGCGCCAAGTCTGGTCTGTATAATAGCATATCTTCCATTTTGTGGGAAATCAGACATATATCATCGGTGAAGTTCAGATCCTCAAAGTTTTTGTGGGCCCATTTTATGCCTGTTTCCTCGCTGCTCGCTGTCTGTCGCATGACCCAATCTCCTGCAATCAGGAAGATCATTGGCGATAGCAAGCAGCCAGCTTGTCTTACTCGCATCTTCACTTCGAAGGATTTCGTAAGTTTCCCGTTGTGGATTACTTGGCATGCAACATTGTCGTACAACTGTTGGATGAGATGTATAATTGTCGGTGGTACCCCGTAGTAGCGAAGTAGTTGCCAAATGACCTCTCGATCGACGTTGTCTGCTGAAGGCTTTTTCAAAGTCGATAAAGTTGAGTGAGATAAAGAGGTGACTGCCATTCCAAGCTTTGTTCAATGAAGATCCGTAGTGTGGCGATTCGATCAATACATGACTTGTTTCTCCTGAACCCAGTTTGTTCCGGTCGAAGTTTTTCATATAGGGTTGTTTAATTCTCTCCAGGATGATGACAGGAGCATAACTCCGCGCCAGTTCTTGCATTGACTTAAGTCTCCTTTCTTTGGTAGTTTGAATAAGTATCTTTTCTTCCAATCCTCAGGTACCTTGCTCACAAACACATTACTGTAGACCAATTCTTCAGCTAGTAAAAATTAAATCACTTGATAACAACGTTCGAATTCCAAGTCAATAAAAATACGATCAATAGAAATATAAATCGACTACCAATCTCGACAGTGGTTTCCAGAAGGAGATACAATTATGTCATCATTCATGGAGAATTTAAATAAGTCCACTTCATTCAAAAACCTTCGCTAAAGCGATGTTGTCTAGAAGGCCTTATGAAAGCTTCCCAATTAAATCAACCAGCTGGTCAGAGAACACAACTAATTCATTCTGTATAATTGTATATATATATATGAGTTTTATTATTAATAATAGTAGTAATAATACGAATTTCGCCAAAAAATATAACTGGTTATATACTTTATAAAATACTTCATGGAATTTACGAATTACAAATGGGGCTATAGCAGTAATAAGATGAGTCAGAAACTTGATGCATTTATTCCCCCTAATGATTTTGAATAAAGCAAGAACAACAGTAGTGGTTTGTGCAGAATAATATGGTACCATCATTTGTTAATTTCATTGGCTCCTCATCAGCTGCTGCTTACAGCCTAAATAAATTATGAGGTTTATATACAGAAAAGTTTTAACCTATTTTTTCAAACTTCTCTTGGTGTCAGTTGGTGTCAGAAGGTTCCATAATTAGTGAATAGTGCTCGGAAAACTGCGCTTATATAGTTTTTACACAGGTAGTTCAACACGTTTCAACAAAATAAATGTATGCATACAATAGTAAAGGAGTTACGTAATAAAGACGAGAGATGCGTAAGGTGCTGTGTGACTAATAAATTAGTTAACAATGTACTGAGTTCAACACAAATCATAGAAACAAGAGACAAGCAGAATTACAAATTATAAAAGAGTGGGGTGAGGTTAAAGCCAAAAATTATGTAGTCGAATGAAAGAAAGAATAAAGACATCCAGTTAACAGGATGGGCAAGGAAATACTGACTGGCAACTGCTTCTTTCTGAACACATAAATCTGGTTCCAAGCGTTTGGTAAAAATTGCTTCTGCAAAATTACTTGAGGAGAATCGAGGTCCTTTGTCTATTGAATATTTCAAAGGATTTGGCGATTTCCACCTCATGATCCGCATCGAGATGTCTGGTAATAGCGCTACTATAAGAACATGTGCTGAAAAGCTTAAGTCTTAAGGGAACAAACTCTTATCATAGCGCTATTAGCAGACATCTCCACTGCTTCTGATTCTTCAGAAGCCTAGCTTGAAGCCTTGTGTTCCACTCGGAACGTAACGGACTAAAATAATAAAGTAAATATATAATAAACCAAAAGAAGGCCAAGTTAAACTTTAAGCACCACTAACTACTAATCAGCGAATGACCTCGAATGTTCCAATGAGGTCCATGCATGTGAGTTCAAGGTTGTTTATTGTTTGATTCGTATCAAACAAGTTACGCTTGTAGTTAGATGAGGATAAGGTTTTGCAGTATTGCCTGGATTCGGGTTTGCTTAGGAAGGAGAGATATTGCCTCATGGAAAATGGAGAGAATAACTTCATTGTTAGGCGGAGAAGGTATCGTCGTACACGTGGACGAAACTGTGTTACTGAAGAAAAATACAACCGTGGTCGTGAGCGAGCCAACAGTGTTTGGGTGATCGGTTTATGCGACAATTTCCTGCAGAAAGGGTTCATGGAGAGAATATCAGACAGAAAGTCTACTACCTTAGTACCTTTTGTCTACTCGACTTGTGAAACAGGGATCCATTGTACATACTGATGAATTGAAAGCTTATAACTCGTTGTCATCTCTTAGATATGTTCATCACAGAGTGAACCATTCTATGGATTCTTTGGATCCATTTACAGAGACGCACACGAATTCTATAGAAAGATTTTGGGGAAGATTAAAAAATAGGATAAGGACTATAGATGGATCTCATTCATGGTCATTTGGATGAATATATATAAAGAATGGGGTGTGACTTTACTCATGACTCTCCTATGCTAAACTGGGAGATGTTTGCGTTACATGTTAGAGAAAGATACCCTGTGTAACAGTTTTATGCAGCTTCTATGCTTTTTTCCATAAATACACGTTTCCTTTAATCAAAAGTCCCTCTTCCTTGTGATTGGTTCGTTGAAGGTCGTTCGCTGATTGGTAGTTACTGGTGCTTAAATGTTAACTTGGCCCAAAACAAGTATGCTTTTAAAATTAATGAATATTCTGTCGCATTATTTTTAAAGTTAAAACACATGTTACCAACTAGTCGCATCATGTTTCTTTCTCATGGTTAGTTTTTCTTCATATGAGTTCATCTTCATCTCAGCTGGAATTCCTGCACGATTGTCTTGTTATCAGCATGAGTTTCTTTACAACAATCTCATGGCAACTGGTTTCAGTCTTACTGTGACGCATACTTTCATTTCACCTTCACTCATCAACTGTGATGACACTTCTAGTCTAAAATTCCGAGTCTGTGGGAGATAATGTCATCATGAAAATAGGCGTTTTCATTCACTGTTAACCAGCGCTGAAATCTTGAGTTGGCCAACTAACTCATTATATGGTAGATGACTCCATAGTTGAGAAATGCGCTCCACCCAGCAATCCTCCACTCACCCACCCAAGGCATCCTCAAACACAGGCATTTCCAGTTGACAAATAATTATAATAAGCTATCGTTAAATAAATATTAACTCAAGAAAGTATTGAATTTCAATCAGAAATGTAAGTCAAAAATGAGTTATGAATTCTAACACCTTTGCTAATGTATTTACTTATGATATTCATTTTCTTTTCTTTTTTTCTATTGCATACAATCAGGTAAATGATGCCTTAGCTAAACAACATTATGCTGCTAAACAGTTAAAGGAGAAAATTCAAGAAAATGAGGTAATAATAATATCAGTCACTTTTGATTGGTTGAAATTATATTGATTTATCGATTAGTAAGTGAATATATATGTGAAGTAAACTAAAAAGTACAGGTGACAACGGATTATTCTGTGTATATAGCAAGATATGTATGAAATACACTACTAACTGATGCCAGCGAGTATTTCCAAATCATCAAGTCAACCAGTGCGGAAATCGCTAACCAGATTGTGAACCAATCCTAACTAATCTCAACGGCCGTTTTCTTTGTGTTGGCACCTAGCACTTATCAGCGGTTATCAGTGGTTTTACACAGATCAGGGTATGAAATTATTTCAAAACTTCTGAATTCGGATATGTGGAATTCAGTTTATTCACTGACTAACCATAAAATTTTAGATGGAAATTGGCAGCACTCCTCTTTGGAAATCAACAGAGTTCTTGATATAAGTATAAAACTTGGGCACTATGCTGGTAGAGTATAACTCAATTATGGATAAGATTTTATTTTGATATATCACACAGTGTGGTGTTATACAGTAATATTAACTGATGTGACCACGTTTCGAGCACAAACTATTGGCACTCATAATCATATCAAGTTACTCACACAAGTTTTTCCTTGATTTATATACATGTGTGGAATTGATGATTAGACATCTGAACAAAAATCAATATGGGATCATGTACATTCATAAATAGTAATATGAGTGTTATTGATCAAATACAATGAGATGGGAAATAAGACGAGTGTTTGTATAGTCATAATAAGTAACTTGTTAGAATGTTATGATGTACGTGAATTGAAATAGAATTTTGAGATTATTTATTATTCTCCTCTGATTTGACTGACTGGTGGTAATAACATCTTCCATGCATATCTGTGGTATTTGCATTGCGTCATTTCTGTTGCATGCGTTGGGTGTAGGTAGACTCGATGAACAAGATTCATTAATCAACCTCTCTCTCCACCTATCTGGATTACTTTTTAGAATTTTAACCCTCTCCGACCATCCTATAGTGTGGTTGTGTGTTAATGCGTGAAGTACAATTTCTGAGCTGTTTTCTAAATTACTTATCTTCTCGAGATCAATCGTTCTTATCTTAGCTAAATTTCTATGTTCCGACAGTCTGACCTCACAGTCATTGCAGGGTATTTTGCAAATTATATTATTTTGTCTAATTGGGTCAACTGGTCCTCTAACTAACAGAGCTTGTCCTACCTGAGTGAGTTTGTAGGTTTGAATGCCACCCTAATTCCTTCTTTATTTAGAATCCTACGTAGGGTCTCAGATGTCCCCTCTTTATAAGTATAAAAGAAGGCAAACTACACACTAGTGTCTATAAAAAACCAACACATTCTAATAGATTTGTAGACTTTAATTCGTCTCATCCGTTAGTTGTTAAGGCAGGCTTAGTTAAGTGTCTAACAAACCGAGCAGTAGCACTAAGTAGCATAAGAAACGACCTAAATGATGAAATAAAACAGATAGAAGGGCGTTGGTGTTGAATAACTATCCTATTAAAATTCATTAGGAAGATCATTAAAGGCCAAAAACAAAATAATTATGAAACTAGTAGTGATAATATAAATAAGAAAGAATATAAGTCATCCACTGTTATACCGTATAAGGAGGGGACAAACTTTATTCCCCAAATTATATGTACTTTCATGCCATTGATAATGGACTGGTAATTAATTAACAGCTTTTTGCGTTTGGCTTCATACTGCGAACTGATTGCTGACGAAATCTCTGCATGAATAACAAAGGCTCATATAGCATTCCCTATCTTACGCCATCTTTGGCGTAGACTTGATACGTGGGGTTATCGATTGAAGGATGTGCATACTGTACATCAGTTCGCTTTGTTCTCCTCTTTATGGATGTAGAAATGGCCATTGGAAGTGGAATATATATATATATATATATATATATATATATATATATATGAAGGTTAGCTGCCTTTTACCACACAGTTTATTTTCTGTCGTATATTTTCAATGAAATAGAATAATACACAGGTTAGGCGTGGAGGTGTTAGGTATGGAGGGTAAGTCATTTGATGTGGTTGGGTGAAGCTACATTGACTTAGATGGTGCATTCCATGCTGTCACTTTACTTGAAGGGCAGGATGTGTAGGCCTCCCGACTGATTAGAGTCCACGAGATTCTAAGAACTAATCACTGGGTACTTACTGATGGTGATGATATAGATCGAATGCGTTATCAATGGCGAAAGTTTATTCAGCCTCTGTGTTCTCTCGTATCTACCAAATGGTCATGTTTTCCCATGTGAACATTATTTTCTCTCATATTTCTCCTGATTATTTATTATTATTATTGTTCCCTGGGGTTCCTAGTAGAACATACGGCTTCAACAACACATGCACGTCTCCACTTCCCACTTCTGTCTTCTGCTCTACTTTTCACCCCTATCCATATTAGTCCATACTCTTTCAACTCCTCTTCACACGATCTCCTCCATGTCACCCTTGCACTGACGTCCCACTCGCCGCTTCCCTTTCAGCCTGGTTTCACTCCACCGGTGGCCTTACGCGCGCGCGATGTCAACCAGCGCCTCCTCAGCCAGTGTCCAGTCCATTTCAATCCACTTTCTCCTGAATATTTGTTGTTGGCGATTGGTTTTGTTCTTGTTTTGTTTGTTTGTTTGTGCCCATACTTTCTTGTTGGTGATTGTTTCCGTCCCGACCCGGCCATCTGATCTTCAGTATGGAGCCAGCGAAGACAGTTGCTGTTGGTAATGGTCTGGTCTGAAATAGCCTGTTGAGAATATTCTTTGTGACCCGCTCGCCAACTTTCTGATCCGTACCGTGTAGGAGAAGTGACTGACTTGACGTTGTTTGTATTGAAACTCCGACTGAATTTTGTTGTTGATGCTGAGTTGAGTGACGAAGATTGGTTCCCAAATTGGTTTCAGGTTTATGAATGTGTGTGTTTCTCGCCTTCCCGATCCGATTCTCGATTTGGCATCCTCTTCCGTTCCGAATGGCTGTAGTTGAGAAAATGCTCAATGCTAGATAAGGGAATTGAGGAAGTAACCTCTTTCAAATGCCTTCCGTTGATAGTGATTGGTGCTGTTGCTGTTGTTGCTGTTGGCTGGTTATTTTCATAACTTCTGTCTTATCTGGAGTATTGTCTTTGCCGGCTGCTTCTTCGACCAGTTTGTCAGTTGGTCGGTTTTCGCTTGTAAGTCTTCGATTTTGTGTATGACATCAAACATAGATCATCCACGCGCGAAATCCAGGTCTTCTAGGTAAATAATAGTTGAATACAGACTGAATTAAGCAAAAAATAATAATAACAGTGATAATAATAATAATAACAATAAAAACGACAACAACAAGAAATCAGGCATAAAGTACATGCAACACGCTTCAAAATATTCATAATCTGTACTGGAATTATTCAATATTGTATGTGAATAATTCATGTTTTCAAAACAAATATAGACATATGCTTAAACTGTGTGAATAAATTAACTGTGTTGAACATGTCAGACCACCATTGAATAGACACAACACGGTGTATTACTGCCGTAAATAGCAGAATATGCATAATCAATCAAAAATAACCCCATTTAGTTATGAAAATAAGCACAAACAGCTCAGTAAAAAGTCTCAAAGTCTATAAAGTTGAGGTAGAGGTTTGATTGCCATTCCATGCTTCGTTTGGTGATGATGCGTAGAGTTGTAATTTGGTCAGAACATGATTTGCATTTCCTGAATCCAGCTTGTTCTGGTCGGAATTCTGCATCCACTGCGTCCTCTATACTCTCCAGGATGATGCGGCTCAGAATTTTACTTGTGGTCGTTATATATATAACAATATACGTCAGTTAGTTAGGGTCGTACTGGAGATTGCATACAGGAAAGTTTAGACCGAAACCAGAAACAGTTGGAAATAAAATCTACTTAGTATAAAGATAAAGAAGTATCAACAAGAATTGAAAGAAAAAAGAAGGGATCAATCGATCATTGAATAAGACATTTCACCCTGGCAGACTGATTTAGCATTGTAACACGATATATGCTCAGTGATTCAGATAAAAGTAGGCAAGTATCCTGCTTAAATCAACTTCAAACTGCATATACCGATTCATTTGCACTCGTAGTAGCAAATACATACATAGTACATTCATATGAATTGTGATCAACATTTCACCGGATAGTCGCAAAATAATTGAACGCCGAGTGAGAAGTAGACATTTATAAAATTATATTTGTAAAAACTCAGCGAAACTGAAACGGTTAATTCCAACGTTTCGTTCAGCTATCTGGTTCGAACTTCTTCAGGGAAATTAATCGAAATTAACATAACAGAGGTTTATATATAAAAGGAATATCTCTTGTTTTTGAAACTTTGTCCAATCTTGATTCATGAAACAGACATCAACATGTATAATAAACAAAAATTGTATGAACTGTTATCAAAACTTGACCCCAGACTTTCAAAATTAGTCTACTTTTAATCTGTGGATGGTGACTAGGAGTGAAATCCAGGATGCACATTTCGTCATCTGGATGTACCTGCGTTTCCCAGTGAGCGATGATGTTCCCACCGAGGCTCAAACGCCAAAGCGTTATCCACTAGACCACTTAGGCCACGGGAGCTGGCCGCCTCTTGTGCAACGGGTCATATTAATTATTGAATTGAATTTTTGATTTTCCCGTTGACTGATTGAACGGAAGCCGACAGGCCAACCTGAGACCGAGCAATTCTGTCCAACCAGTCGACGCGAAAATCTCAAATTCAATTAAATTAGTCTACTTTTGTTAAAATATATGTGAATATGCAGTATACATAAGTGCGTGTGTATGTGTGTGTTTGTGAACAGTCATAAAACGTTTGTTATTCTCTCCATAAGAAGACATAGATAATCGGGAATTTGACCACGTGTGACTAGTTATTGATACATATCCAATTTTATTTATTAGTTAGGATTTGCCATGCATCAGCTAACATTACACCTTCACGTCTCTTTAAACTGTTGGGATTCACCCATATATGTAGGGCTTCTGCAGTCAGTCTTTCTTGATATGAACCAAAACCTTTGTGTAAAACCTTAGTCTTATCAAAGTCGATTTTGTGTCCCGTTTCTATCGAATGCAGTGCAATCGCTGAGTTGTTTTCTAGCTTCTTCAAGTCTGCAGAGCTCTTTGGAACCACCTTTAGACATTGTTTATGCTCTTTCATCCTTATATTTACCTGTCTGGAAGTTTTTCCTACATATACTGCGTTACAATCCCCACAATTGATCTGGTATACGCAATTCTGGTGGTTTTTTTGTTCTATATTATACTTAGCCTTCACCAGTAATGAGCGTAAGGTGTTAGTTGCACGAAAATGCACTTCTGTGTTATGATCGTTAAGGATTCGCTTTATTTCATCGGATGTTTCTTTGTGGTAAGGAATCACTGCTGTACTAACCTAATCTTTAGCAACAGGTTTCGATTCATCCTTAGCTTCACATTTTAAATATCTTTTTATGAAGTCTTTAGGATAATAATTTGATTCAAGAGTGGACTGAACCAATTTTAGTTCCTTGCTAATATATTCCTCCTCAGTAACTAGACGTTTGGCTCTGTTGATCAGATTCTTGGCCACAGTTACTTTGGTGGTAAATGGGTGAGCTGAATAGTAGTCTAGGTATCTATCCGAATGTGTCGGCTTTCTGAAAATGTTTATTTTAAATTTGCCATCTAATTTTTTTCTACTAAACAGTCCAAGAATGTCAACTAATTGTCATCGGATTCAACCTCTTCGGAAAACTTGATAGTTTCTGACATATTTTTTTATTAAATGAAAGTTCATTTAACAAACTACGTTTGATTATGACGAAGATATCACCTACGTATCTTAATCACATCTTTGGGGGAGTAGGGCATTTCATAATTGCATTTGTTTCTAATGAGTCCATAAACAGATTGGCGACTGGCGGAGATACTGGTGATACCATAGCAATGCCTCCTGTTTGACGATAAAGAACCCCTCTAAATGTAAATGAAGTGGATCGAAGACACAATTCTAATACCTTCATAATTTCGTTGGGATTTAAAGGACAACGATCACTGAGTTCGTCGTTAGCACAAAGTAAATTATAAATAATACTTAAAGAATCATTAACGGGTACATTCGTCAATAATGAATAAACATCGAAACTTGCCATTATTTCACCTTCTTCAAATTAGTCAAATTTATTTTCCTCTTAAATTCACTCCATGCTCCACTTTCATTTCATATGGGCTAAGTATTCGATAAATGTGTTTAGAGAGTTTGTATGTTGGAGAGTTAGTAAAATCCACTACTGAACGTAATGGAACTTCTGATTCGTGTATTTTTGGTAACCCATAAAATCTATAGGGGCTGCAACTTTTTGGAGCCAGAGTAAACCAAAGTGATACACTAAGCTTCTCTTTTATTGTCTGTAACATTTTGCTTGTTTCAGCCTTCAGCTTATTTAATGTCACCCTTGATTTATCCAGGTTGAATTTTTCATAAGGTTCATCATTAAGATGATCAAAGGCCTTCTTTTCGTAATCTGCGGTGCTCATGACAACCGTGATATTGACTTTATCTGCTCTTGTAATTATAATTGATTTATCCTGTTGTAGGTGTTTTAATCCCAGTTGCTCGTTTTTACTTATATTCGGCGCATTTGCCTTCTGGTTCAGTAGTACCACTGCGATTTTGTGTCTTATAACGTTTGCCTTTTATATATAAACTTCTGTTATGTTAATTTCGATTAATTTCCCTGAAGAAGTTCGGACCAGATTGCCGAACGAAACGTTGGAATTAATCACTTCAATTTCACTGAGATTTTACCAATATAATTTTATAAATCCTTTTTTTACTTTACAAAATTTGAATTTTACACCCACCTACTCTCTTTTGTCTGTTTAATTATACCATAAATAGTCTTTATGGTGTTTATTTTTTAACACTGAATAATCTGTATACTTACGTCATTATGAAATTGTGCTGTATTGATACTTTCTATAGATAACTCAACATCACTGGCATAGATTCATCCTTTCTTTCGTCATATATATTGTAATGTTGTCTACATTATTGAAGGTGTTCATTTTGAAATGTAAAATGAGTCCTACATGTATATACTACCACTACTACTACTAATAATAATAATAATAATAATAATAATAGCTGTTGTTATCCAATTTGATGAATACGTGTCATTTACAGGAGTTATCAATCGCTCATCATCTGATTGATTATGTGTGATAGATTGAGAAATAAACGTGATGATATCAATGTTGTTTAATGCTCATATCAGTTAGTGCTTATATGATTCATAATTAAAGAATTTTGCTAACTAACCAACTGATTTAACGTGTCAATTTTTTTTTTTTTTTGGTTAAGTCATGTGTCAACCAATATTATGAAAAATTTTCTCTTATCTTCTCTTACAGATCCTCCAGTCTGAATTGAGAGCCTTGAAAAAATTAGTCGGTGAATTATCATCAAATGTTGTACTTCAAATGACAAGAAACTCTTTCGGTTCTTCAAGGTGAGCTGAAGTTTTACGTTGACGTATATATATATATATATATATATATATATATATGCAGCATATACAGAACCAGAAATCATTATTATTATTATTATTAAAGGTAGATTTTGTTATATAAGCAAATTGAGTTTTAAAATGAATAACAAAAACCCAATGAGAACTAATGTAGGACTTTTCATTAGTGTGAACTTAGACAACACTACCTGAGACTGATCCTAGGAACTTTGATTGAAACTATAAACGGCTCATGATTGCTAATCTCTGTGAATTCATTTTGTAGCCTCACAGACGAACAAAGTCATCGATAAGTAGGTGATTTTCACTCTTTTTTTTAAACTTCACAGTTCATCATGTGCTATGCTAAAGAGTCGAAAATCTGGATCGGGTAGCTGTTCAGGGGTATCTTGGTCGGAAAGTAGGTTGGGAAATGTAAAAATAAGATAAATGATGATAGTAGTGATAGTGATAAAAATAATAATAATATTAATGACGACATGCATGTAAAACATGCACAAGTCAGTGACAATGCCTACAGTAGGGAATCTAAATCATCAGTACTAATTCCATACAAGGAAGGAACTTCGGTGGCCTTACGCAAGGAGTGGATGCATCTGCGCCAGCCACCGAGAACGATTTTGAGCCATATCACCGATTGTCTCCAGCCTTCATTGGCTTTTGCCATCCGAGGATCCCAACTAGTCAGGAAGTCTACACCTTCCTATGTGTCTGGTTGGGTTAAGACTGATGAGGCCATGTTTTGATTTGACCACCACATGCTAGCTCTTTTCGAGCCTGACTTTCTGTCAGCTAACACTGCCCGTCAAGGAAGGCGATGGCTAGGTACGCATGCGTAACACATGTTCTAACAATCTCAGTCGATGTAGCTTCACAGCCTCGTCGATTGATTTCCCCTGCTCACCCACCCAGCACTCGACGTCTAACCTCAATATAGCGCACCTTATTATACAACTTCACACGGGAGGTAGACCACAGGCACCTGTGATCAATGACAGCTAGCCAAACTTTTCATGTCTTCCACTCTCAATGGCCACAAAGGAGGACGGAGCGGACTGCTGAGCAGTACACCCGCCATTTGGTCGATAGCCAGCCGAATATCACACCTACTAGGCCAGAGACTGCGTAAACTGGAATAGGCGAAACTAACCCTCTGTTTGGTTTACTAGCTAATGGTTAGTTCATAAACGATGGAAGGTTGAGCTTGCGACTTGAACTATTTTTTATATCACCAGTTTCTAGAGTAAATTAACCTAATACTTCTACCGGCAGCTTTCAGAGTACATTAGCTACATTCTACGTAGTTTTGTTTTCAATTTGTTGCGTATTATGCTGTCCCATCCCCTGTTTTTGTTACTGCTTCGGCATCAAACAGGAGATCTATTGATCATCTTCCAAGTGTCTGAATACAACAGGTCGCAATTGTTTTTAGTATTTTGCTGTGCGAAATTAATTAAGCACTTCTAGTGGAAGCTTGAAATCCTGTGCTCCAGTCAGAAAAAAAGTTGACTTTTCGATTGGACACTAGTGTAACTAGTGAGACGTGTCTAGTCTTTTCTCTGCTTCAGACTGAATTATATCAGTCAGGTTTGCAATACGGACACCATTCTAGGTAGCTTGTCGTCACGGTGCCTCGTCTGACCTAAGTTTCGTGCTAGTTGGCTTTCTGCCGATTGTCTCCAACTATCTATCACCAAATCAATGTGCGCTGTGATGGCGAGCTACCTAGAATGGTGGTCACATTGCGAACCTGACTGATAGAATTCATTCTACACCAAAGATAGGACTAGATACATCAAACTAGTTACTAACTAATGTCCAATTACAAATATCCACTACAGTCCTACAGGAGGTCAATCGTGAGCCAGCCCGAATAGCTCAGTGGTAACGTCTCTAACTACAGCACTCACTGGGTGACGCGAGTTCAAATCTCAGATTTGACATGAGTTGCTCCTTCAAGGTAGCAGATACATCTTGCTAACTGACTGGTGAGTACCAACTAACAAGAAACGTAGATGAGGCGAGGCTTCCGGTCGATTGCCTCCAACTATCTTATATCATCAATAGTGGGCGTTTATCAGATGGTTAATTTAAAATAACTATTATTTTATTTAGTGTCTACAAAGTTTCAAATAGACAGATAGACAGACAAACAGACTGGGAGATGTGTTATTGATTTAAACACATTTTCAACAGTTGACTGACCAACTGTAAACAGGCGAATGACGATATGCTTAATTCATCATGATTCCTCACCTTATTATTATTAAATTAGTGAAGTTTTAATTCTATAATAATAATAATAATATTAATCATAATGACAATAATAATAATAATATCTTTATTCTGGACAATATTTATAAGATGTACAGATTTTTCAGATGAGTTAATTTAACTACATGATTCTTTCCCTTCGAACAACAATAATTTCAAGTAAACTACTTACTAATTTATCTGTAAACATTGGGCACTCCGGTAATAAGTACTTTCACATTACACGATTCAGACAAATTACGTCTTCTTATTGCTTTATCTACTTTAACATTAGTTTGTTTATTGGATGTATCACACAGTGATGAAACAGTATTACTGTTTACTGGATGACACAGTTTCGAACACAATTCATTATTGTTCATAATCATTCCATTAATTATAATCACACGACTTCGAAACTTGAGTATTAGAGTTTTCTTTGTTCTCTCCTATTTGTTGCCGTCGGAGTAGTAGAATTTTCCAGATTTCTGGATGGACAGGTGTTGAATCATTCCTATTACACGTGTTTGCAGTTCATTTGATAAATAAAGCTTCCATACACATAAATGAAGCTTTGAAACTTAATAATTACCCTGATAAATTAGTCAGGTAATATGTAAGGAAATGTGAAAATTAAATAATGATAGTAGTGATAGTGATAATAATAATATTAATGACGACATGCATGTAAAACATGCACAAGATAATGACAACACCAACAATAAGGAATCTAAATCATCAGTAGTAATTCCATACAAGGAAGGAACCTCGAAAATCAGCTTACGCAGAATTCTTAACAAGGCAGGAATAAAAGCGGCTGACATTTGAACCAACCAGAAAATCAATTAGATATAAGCTTTGTCGGTTAAGGGATCAATCCTGTGGAGCCTTTAAAACAACACAATTTACTTGATCTAATATCCCGCTTGCAATGATTGTCAGGTCAAATACATAGATTAAACTAGTAGAACAGGATCAGTGAGTCAGACTAGCCGAATATAGCAATATAGCAAAATCTAGATTGGTTGATCCGAATAAGATAAGAAGTCTAGAGAATAGTTCAGCTATACCACTCACTACATACAATTGCACAGTTATACAATAAGATGGATAGGATGACATTTTTAAAATCTAATGTAACAACGGGTTGGATGAAGAGATTGATAACAGAAGCTTTATTTATCGAATCGACTGCAAACACGTGTAATAGGAATGATTCAACACCTGTCCCACACAGTCAACTGGAAATGTCTCCGACAGAGAGGAGAGAACAAAGGAGACTATGAAACTCAACTTTTGAAGTGGTGTGAATACAACTGACGTAATGAATATGAACAATACTATATTGTGTTCGAAACTGTGTCATCCGGTAAAGAGTAATACTGTTTCACTCACTGTGTGATATGTCTAATAAAGAAACGAATATTAAATGTTTACTGACAGTATATCCTCTGACATAGTGGTCGCTAAGCTGAAGCACAAACGATGACATAATTTATATTTGCTTTGTCTCCTTCAAGAAATCCACGATATCTTGTTGAGAACCAATTGTAAGATGTTCAGAAGTACATTTTTTTATGATACCGAAGGACAGTTATCTCATGTATTGATTGGAACACGTTGCCACCCACAAACACACCATTCCTCAAGTTTAGTAGGAACTTGCGAATCAGAAGCTTGTAGGCATTTTGAATACAGACAAGAGCAGATAATACCATTATAAGTTATATCTTAATCAATTAAATCAAACCGAAAGAGAGAAAATATACACAACAGAGACGGTTGGAAGTTTCTGGTAGTCCAAATTTTAATCAGACTGCTTAGAGTAAAGAACGAAAATTTCGACATGTACATTTTTAGACTGGGTTGGCAAATTGTAAAGCAGCTTTCAATGTCCTTCTAAAACAATATCTTTTGAACATATACACGCGTGTTGTCAGTAAGTTTTTTCATTTTACTTGAGACAGATCCTTCTGTTATCCTCAGAATATATATGCAGATATTTTATGTCATCCTCCTAATGAGATTTCCAATGCATTATTTTCTACAAATGTTGTGCCTGCTTCTTAGAAGGATATTAAAATTGTTGCTGTACCAAAATCCTAAAGTGTTTTTAGTTTAGACCTATTACTAATACCTCACCATTTTTAAAAATAATGAAAAAATTGCTCATACTTAACCATGAACCTTCATTGAAGGCTTTTAACGATCCAGAAAAAACATGGTAGCTGTACTTTATACGCCACTGCTGCCTTACATCATAATATTATCCGCAGTTCAGACAGAGCTACCTTTCTTAGCTACACATTTACCTTCGTTCGACTCTACACCGGGTGGTCCTCTATTGTTAAACAAGCTTGCTGTGGTAAAAACAGGATGGTCAATTAATAAATGACTGGCGGCATTCTTATATATTTTTTCTGGCAGGAAGCAGTACACGGTATATAAAGGAAAATCTTTTGCTGCTTTACTTACTGCAGCTGATGTCTCTCATGGTTCTGTTCTCTCGCCTTTTCTGTTTTTTCTTTCGTCTCACATAACTTGCTTCGTTCGTTGATCACACCAATTTTTTTATTAAGTATTCTGACTATCTGACTGTTTCCATGTAGGTAACTTTTCAGTCAGACTGTTTCAAAATGAATAGATTTTTTTATCAGAAATTATTCACATTTGTTCTTTCGAATGCTTGCAAGTGAAATCTCTGCAAATGTCAGATTGTTAATTTCACT